AAAGGAAAAAAAGTTGGTATGTATGTAATGCAATAAAAGAAAAAAATTCTTCACCAATGTGAATAAAAGAAAAAAAAGTGAAGAAAAAAAGTAAAAAAAGGGTCAAGTTCAGGTTTGTACCTAGATTGTTTGAGCAATTAAGTCCTTAGGGTTGTGTTCTGACACCTAATGCCCTAAGACCATCTAGTCTGGGAGTCATCAGCTGAAAGCTTGTTACATAAGGGGTTTAGGTTGCCAAGATTACTTGAACAATTAAGTTTGGAGGGGTGCTTTATCACTTATTGCCCTAAAACCATCTGGTCTGGGAATCATTGGCTGAAAGTTCGTTAAATGGGTGATTTAGAAAGCTTAGTAGACCTGAACATTGCACAGTATCCTTTTTGAAAAATGCATACCGGTAGAAAAAAATAATAATGCCTTGGGAGTTAGAATTTGAAAAGTTTGCCTGCGAATTGAGAAATAGCTAGGAATAAATGCAAGCATGGACAATAAGCCACACGTTTAATTATAAGATCACTTTCAAAGAATTTTGGAGATTAAGATTGTTGAATGAATGATTAAACTGACATATGGGGACCATGGCTACTAAATTAAAATTGTAAGTTGAAATTTTTTCTAATTATATGATTGGTTGTATTTGCTATATTTGACTGATTAATGAACTGCATGGATATTATGATTTAAAAATAGGCTTAAATGAGCTTGTTGTGCGATTAAGGCACTGTTTGAGATGTTTGTGGGTACCATCACTAGAAAACCTCACGAGACTTCAACTCATCCACTAAGGGTAACCTAGGGGTTTAAAGGCTTGTTGCATAGGCTAAATGCAATGGTGATGTCACGCCCCTAGACCGTAGTCCGGATTGTGAACACAACACACGAATAATCACAGTCTCAAAATCAAGAATATCCCTGTAACCTATCTTAATCACAGATCCACCAATCTATTTCCCTTTACAAAATAAGACTAAAAATAAATAGATAAGATGCAAATATTACAACTTTAAAGTTTTAAAGTCTGAAAGAACATTTATTACATGCCAGGAAAATTCTAAAGAAATATAATAAAAAACATAGTCTATTATGCGGAATGAAAACATGACAACACCATCCCTGACTCTGTCTACAGCTGAGGAGGAACACCATCCACACCATCCATGCCATGACCTGAAAAGATGTGGATAAAATAGGAATGAGCAACCACAGCTCAGCGGGAATTACTTAAAACGCGCTCCTTAATACCTCCATGAATCTAAACAAAGAACAGACAAAGGATAATGGGATCATACAAGCTCGGGAAAACAGAATATAATATGAGATAATAAAATGAAGTGTCATGTAATGCCAATGCCAATGCTAATGCCACTGACAGTTCTCACTTCCCAAATATCCTATTTCCATCACAAAAAGTTAATGTAATCTGCCCAGGGCTGCTCCCCAGTACCACGAGAAGAGAGTTGGTCATCTATCCGTGATACAAGGCCACTCCTTGTGATTATTTTGGGGCTCTAGTAATACAACTACGCGTAGAGCCACTCCCTACGTCTCCTCTAGATTCCCATTAACTGCACAGACAAGGCAACTCCTTGTCCGATTTTAAAATCTTTGATTCAATTCCCTTTTCAAAACTCACGAGTACAAGACACCTCCCTGTTATTCAGTTTTCAAAACCATTTAATAAAACATTTTCACTTTCCTGTTCATTCCAACATCATCCCCATGCTCATGTGACATACATGTACATTTGTATAACATGATATACAGATAATAGAATAAATATGGAAATCTCAATTCATATACAATATCATGGTATTGCATTTTAATCCACACACAAGCATAGTAAATTAACAGGCTAATTAATCCATGGTTGTATAACATAAGAAGCATGCTTTTTAACTCACATTTACCACATAACAACATAAACAGTGCTTAATAACATTTAGAAAATCAAATACAAAACTTCCCATTTCAAAAAATATCATAACAACCAATATTCTAATTTTCAAGTAGCAACCTATGTTTACAAGGTCATAACTTTTTCCACAGTTAGAATCTAAGGCTGAAATTAGTATCATTAGAAATCTTGTTTCGAGCTAATCAATTTAGACTCAAAAATCGCTTAATTTGGACTTAAAATGAGGAAGTTATGGTTAGTTGAAATTCAGGTTGTTGTGTAGAAAATTCTGTAGATTAAGGTACGAACCTGGCAGCCTATGATTGAAGGCTCATAACTTTTTATAAAGTTAATATATAAGGTTGAAATTGGTACCATTGGAAAAATTGTTTTGAGCTAATCAATTTAGACTAAAAAATCGCTCAATTTGGATTTAAAATGAGGAAGTTATGGTCAGTTGAAATTTAGGTTGCTGTGCAGAAATTAAGGTTGGCAGATTCGTTTTTCAGCAATGTTTTAGCACAAAACACATAGAATTGATTCCTTAAAGGTAAAGGGTGTGAGATTTAAGTAATCCTACCTCAAAGTAGATGAAATCCCTTACAAGAACACTATAAAGCAATCCAAAGTATGAATCAAAGCCACGTACAAGTGTAAAAATTGAAGAACACTTCTTGAATGCAACCACACTCTTTTCCCCTTTTGGAAACCCAAACAGTGAGAAAATAATTGTAATCCATACACCAAAATGAAGCTTAAAATCTCAGGAACATTTTTCATTCGCTAACCCTCCCCAAAATCTCAACACAAAGCCCTCAAAATGCAGCATGGTAACTATGGAAGAACAAAAGGAACGAAAGTGATGCTCTGCAGATTACTTCATTTATCATATCAGGAAAATAGCAACATAAAATCTAAGTATAAAACATAGCCTTATCACCCATATAGGTGTCATGCCGACAATCAAGTCAAAAGTAAAACCAAGTGAAATGACCAAAAGCTCCTCAAACAAACACAAAATCTCATTTATGCCATGCCTATAACAAAAGACTATGGTACCCTCCATGAAATACCAAATGACAAATATGCTATTTGCATAATAAAGTCTACTTTGCCCTTTATAAAATTATCAAATACCATATATGCCATTTATAAAACAAAAAGTCCATAATTGCCCTTTATGAAATAAAAAATGACATTTAAATTAAATTAAACACATTTGCAAAAGAAATCGTAATTTCCGACAATTAAAAAAAAATGCATGAATGTCAAAATGATCAGAAAATGGTAAAAATGCAAGTGATCACAATCTCCCCAACATACAAGGATTTCGTCCCCGAAATTAAGTCATACCTGGGGAAGAAAACAAATCCGGATACGCAGAACGAACATCCTATTCCCGTTCCCACGTAGCCTCCTCAACATCGTGATGTCACCACAAAACCTTCACGAGAGTCACCGTTTTACCCCTTAACACTTTGTCCCGAATGTCAAGAATTTGAATGGGCCCCTCCTCGTAAGAAACATCCTCATCAATGTCAACATCAACCTAACTCAATACGTGTGATGGATATGGTTCATACTTTCGTAGCATCGAAACATGAAATACATTATGGACCTTGTCCACCTGTGGCGGCAATGCTAATCTGTAAGTAACCTCGCATACTCAATCCAAAATCTCAAACAGCCTAATGAAACGAGGTGACAACTTGCCACTCTTTCCAAACCGTAGCAATCCTTTTCGTGGAGAAACCTTGAGAAACACGTGGTCTCCTACCTCAAAGGATAATAGGCATGTCCATCTATCTGCGTAACTTTTTCTGTCGACTCTGAGCAGTCAATACCCGCTGCTGAATCAACTTAATCTTTTCTGTAGTTTCCAACACAATATCTGGCCCTAAGGCGGCTGTCTCAGCCACCTTAATCCAATAAACAGGAGAATGACAAGGCCTACCATACAATGCCTCAAAAGGAGCCATCTTAATGCTTAACTGATAGCTATTATTATAAGCAAACTCAACAAAAGGTAAATGATCCTCCCAACTACCACCAAAATCAAGCACACAGGCCCGAAACATATCTTCCAAGATCTAGATAGTACGTTCCGACTGGCCTTCCGTCTACGGATGGAATACCGTACTGAAATGCAACGGTGAACCAAACGCTGCATGAAATCCTTCTTAGAACTTCGATGCGAACTTGGCATCCCTGTCCAAAACAATGGACAATGGAGCCCCATGCAATCTGACGATCTCTCTGACATACAATCTGCCAAGTGCCTCAGCAGAATCTGTCGCCTTAATAGGCAAAAAGTGAGCGGTCTTTGTCAATCTATCACTAATGACCCAACAGACTCATTACCCCTCTGTGACCTTGAAAGCCCTGTCACAAAATCCATAGTAATACACTCCCATTTCCACTGTGCTATTGGCAATGGCTGTAACAAACCAGCAGGTCTCTAATGCTCTGCCTTTACCTGCTGACAGGTAAGACATCTAGCAACAAACTGAGCTACATCTGCCTTCATTCCATTCCACCAATACCGGCGTCTCAAATTATGATACATTTTAGTACCACCTGGATGCACAGTAAAACGAGAAGTGTGAAACTCCCGTAGCACATCCTCCCGACAAACTGTAGGAACCACAAGCAAACCTTTGAACTGTAAACCACCATCTGTGTGTAAAGTCCAGTCCTTTACCATGTCCCCACCTGAAATCAACTGATGAATGGCAGCTAAATCTGAGTCCTGTCTCTGTACCTCAATCACTCGTGTAACAAGAGTAGGTTGAATCACAAGACTAAATAGAAAAGCTGTCTCACAACCAACACTGTCATCACAACACTGTAATCCCATCTCTGCCAGATCCTCCAACATCTTCCATTTTCAAATGGCTAACCCAGCCAAAACTCCATGAGATTTCCGGCTTAAGGCATCTGCTACCACATTCTCCTTACCCGGATGATACTGCAAATTAAAATCATAATCTTCTAAATACTCAACCCATCGCCTCTGTCTGTTATTTAAGTCCTTCTGAGAGAAAAGGTACTTAAGACTCTTGTGATCCGAGAAAACCTCGAATCTTTCACCGTACAAATAATGCCTCTAGCTTTTCAAAGCAAAGACAACTGCTGCCAACTCCAAGTCATGAGTGGGATTGTTAAGCTCGTGAATCTTCAACTGTCTAGATCCATAAGCCACTACCTTACCACCCTGCATCAACACATAACCTAAACCATCCCGAGAAACATCACAAAAGACAATATAACCCAAGCCATGCTCAGCTATCACCAATATTGGAGCTGTAGTCAATCTAGTCTTCAACTCCTAAAAAGACTACTCACAAGCTTCAGTCCAATCAAATCTGATCCCCTTTCGGGTTATCCGAGTTATAGGAGTGGCTAAGCGGGAAAAGTCCCTCACAAACCTGCGGTAATAACCCGCTAAGCCAAGAAAACTCCAAATCTCATACACATTCTTGGGACGTTCCCAATCTAGAACTGCTTCTATCTTTGAAGGATCAACTAACACCCCATTACCCGAAACAACATGTCCGAAAAACTTCACCTCTTGCAGCCAAAATTCACACTTAGAATACTTGGCATACAAATGGTGCTCTTTCAGCATCTGTAACACTATCCTCAGATAGATCTCGTGATCCTCTTGAGATCATCAATACACTAAAATGTCATCCACAAACACTACCACAAACTGGTCGAGATATCTGTGAAAGACACGGTGCATCGTATCCATGAATGTTGTTGGCGCATTAGTCAACCCAAAAGGCATCACAATGAACTCATAATGACCATACCGCGTACGAAAAGCTATCTTCAGAATATCGTCATCCCGAACTTGTAACTCGTAGTAACCAGATCTCAGATCAATCTTAGCAAAGCAAATAGCTCCCCTCAACTGATCAAATAAATCATCAATCCGCGGTGAAGGATATTTGTTCTTGATAGTTGCATGATTTAATTTTTGATAATCGATGTACAACCTTATAGAACCATCCTTTTTCTTTGCAAACAACATTGGCGCACCCCATGGTGAAACACTAGGCCTAAATAAAACCCTTCAGCCTCAAATCATCAAACTGCTTCTTTAATTCCTCCAGCTCTGCTGGTGCCATACGATACAGAGTGATAGAAATCGATGCAGTACCAGGCATCAAATCAATTACAAACTCAATCTTTCTTCTAGGAGGTAAATCCTATAAGTCATCCGGAAACACATCCAAGAAGTTATAAACAATTGACAGATAAACTGTCCCAATATCACCATCTTCTTCAGCTAAAATGTTAGCTAAGAAGAAATCACAACGATCCCGACCACGAACACCCTAACAAGCTGAAACCAGGGAATCACCCCGATCTCCCATAAACATAAACCAATCTCCCTCCAACTCTCCAGATACTAATGAGGAAAAATGGACACAAAATCGCGTGATAAAATGCATCTACTACCAACTAACTCCAATCCGTGAATCCAAAGCCTGACAAGTCTGTGCCCTCAAGCAATAATGGATTCAAATCCCACAAAACCCGAGCTAGCTCAAATCATAATTGTTGAAATATGCATTTATCGCAACAAGACCAACCTCAAAGTAAAATAGTTTTTATTGATATCCAGCACTTAAACAGAATTCCAAATCAACTGAATGAAAAACATTATCACCTCAACTCCATCACCATCGTAATCCCTATCCATATTCCAACCCAGGAATTTCTTAATTATGACATTCTATAAAATTAGGAAATCTAGAACACAACCACTACCACGAATGCCAATGTGGCAATCCACCAATCCAGCATTATACCAATGAAAAACTGCGAATCCTTAACCATCATAGTCCTTAAATAATACGTCTTACTATGATCTACCAATCAAACTAGTGACTAGTGTTTGTCAACACATACTCATAAGAACGGTAGCCTCGTTAGCGTCTAGAGCTCACCCACACAAACTCATCAACATGGTAGCATAGTCGGCAACTAGCGCCCACCCACAACGTCCTCATACGTAATGTGACATCGCCAGTGCCTGATACAATCCGACATCATATCCTTTTCCTGAGACAAATATGATGTCTCCTAAAACCGCAAGTGTCTCCCATGACACACAAACCGTCATCCTTGTTAGTGTCTTGATATTGCGTTTTGAGCTGGGTATGGTCCACAATGTTTAATCGGTCCATTTGGCCATCCCATACCCAAACAATAATTACATTTTTCACTGACCCACTTAATTAAATCACAAGTCACTAAGACTCAATTCTAACATCAATTGCTATCAAAACTTTTCTAACATCAGGATCCAACTCTGGACTCCTTACCACTAATCACAACAGAACGTTCCACCGTTACATGCATGAAACACCCATATGTGCTAAATACTAATTAGCGCACATATAAACCATCGGTAGAACCTCACAATACCAACCAAGTCATGTCCAATGAGGACATCTGACAACGATGCAAAATGCACTAAGCAAAATGCCATGATACCCACACATGCTATGCTAATACACTATCCACAAAGGACAATGCTACTGGCGTCAGTCCTACCACTCACTTCCCAAACCAACTAATGCACTAGTCATGAAACCATGTATGCATATGATGCATAACATAACAAAACTGGGAAATCCATATATACCAATCAAAATACAACTCGTAACACATAATGAGATGCAAGTAAAAAAAATAATGACACTATCTACAGTCCCAAAACTGACTCATATGAATAAAAGCCTATACTTTATTATAATCAAATAAACACGTAATCATGTATACACATACGCCTACTTGCAAGGCAAATAATAGATAACCATGTAAGCATAAAAAATAATGCAAACCCTTACACACACAGCTGTAGACAGACCTCTACCTGTCGTCCCTAGGTTAGAGGAACCATACTCTGATACCACTTCTGTCATGCCCCTAGACTATAGTTCGGATTGTGAACACAACACATAAACAATCACAGTCTCAAAATCAAGAATATCCCTGTAACCTATCTCAACCACACATCCACCTATCTATTTCCCTTTACAAAATAAGACTGAAAATAAATAGATAAGATGCATATATTACAACTTTAAAGTTTTAAAGTCTGAAAGAACATTTATTACATGTCAGGAAAATTCTAAAGAAATATAATGAAAAACATAGTCTATTATGCGGAATGAAAACATGACAACACCAGCCTTGACTCTGTCTACAGCTGAGGAGGAACACCCTCCACACCATCCATGCCATGACCTGAAAAGATGTGTATAAAATAGGAATGAGTAACCACAGCTCAGCGGGAATTACTTAAAACGCACTCCTTAATACCTCCATGAATCCAAACAAAGAACAGACAAAGGATAATAGGATCATACAAGCTTGGGAAAACAGAATATAATATGAGATAATAAAATGAAGTGTTATGCAATGCCAATGCCAATGCTAATGCCACTGACACTTCTCACTTCCCAAAAATCCCATTTCCATCGCAAAAAGTTAATGTAATCTGCCCAGGGCTACTCCCTAGTACCACGAGAAGAGAGTTGGTCATCTATCCGTGATACAAGGCCACTCATTATGATCATTTTGGGGCTCTAGTGACACAACTACGCGTAGAGCCACTCCCTACGTCTCCTCTAGATTCCCATTAATTGCACAGACAAGGCAACTCCTTGTCCGATTTTAAAATCTTTGATTCAATTCCCTTTTCAAAACTCACGGATACAAGGCACCTCCCTGTTTTTCAGTTTTCAAAACCATTTAATGAAACATTTTCACTTTCCTGTTCATTCCAACATCATCCCATGCTCATGTGACATGCATGTACATTTGTATAACATGATATACTAATAATGGAATAAATATGGAAATCTCAACTCATATACAATATTATGGTATTGCATTTTAATCCACACACAAGCATGGTAAATTAACAGGCAAATTAATCCATGGTTGTATAACATAAGAAGCATGCTTTCTAAATCTTATTTGCCACATAACAACATAAATAGTTCTTAATAACATTTAGAGAATCAAGTACAAGACTTCCTATTTCAAGAAATATCATAACAACCAATATTCTAATTTTCAAGTAGCAGCCTATGTTTACAAGGTCATAACTCTTTCCAAAGTTGGAATCTAAGGCTGAAATTGGTATCATTGGAAATCTTGTTTCGAGCTAATCAATTTAGACTCAAAAATCGCTCAATTTGGATTTAAAATGAGGAAGTTATGGTTAGTTGAAATTCAGGTTGCTGTGTAGAAAATTCTGCAGATTAAGGCGTGAACCTGGCAGCCTATGTTTGAAGGGTCATAACTTTTTTCACAGTTAAAATCTAAGGCTGAAATTGGTATCATTGGAAAGCTTGTTTTGATATAATCAATTTAGACTCAAAAATCGCTCAATTTGGATTTAAAATGAGGAAGTTAGAGTCAGTTGAAATTCAGGTTGCTGTGCAGAAATTATGGTTGGTAGATTCGTTTTTTAGCAATGTTTTAGCACAAAACACATAGAATTGATTCCTTAAAGGTAAAGGGTGTGAGAGTTAAGTAATCCTACCTCAAAGTAGATGAAATCCCTTGCAAGAACACTATAAAGCAATCTAAAGTATGAATCAAAGCCACCCACAAGTGTAAAAATTGAAGAACACTTTTTGAATGCAACCACACTCTTTTCCCCTTCTTGGAAACCCAAATAGTGAGAAAATAATTGTAATCCATACACCAAAATGAAGCTTAAAATCTCAGGAACATTTTTCATTCACTAACCCTCCCCAAAATCTCAACACAAAGCCCTCAAAATGCAGCATGGAGGGAATGACTATAGAAGAACAAAAGGAATGAAAGTGATGCTTTGCAGATTGCTTCATTTATCATATCAGGAAAATAGCAACATAAAATTTAAGTATAAAACATAGCCTCATCACCCATATAGGTGTCATGCCCACAATCAAGTCAAAAGTAAAACCAAGTGAAATGACCAAAAGCTCCTCAAATAAACACAAAATCTCATCTATGCCATGTCTATAACAAAAGACTGATAAGCGCCGAATATTACATATTCAAGCGCCCTTTGTTGCATTAGTTATGTCCATTATTAGAGGATAATGTACAATTTATATTCAGTTGTGTATTTCTTTCTGATTTCAGGTATTTTTCCCAAGAATGATCAAAGAAGTAGTTTTGACAACTTTCTGTTGAAATATGTGCGCCGTGTCGGGGAGTCATCTTCAGGATCTAACCTCTTCAGTCGCCGTTTTTGTGAAGTTCGTGGCTTAATGTTCATAGTGGAAGTGTGTCTTCGCTCCAGCCTGAAGAAACTTACATAAAATTTAAGCTTGGAGGAAGTGCAGCTGCAAGGCCCCGCGGGCGCCTGTCGCGCTACCGCGGGCACCCTCCAATTCCCTCATCTTTCTGCCCCATTTCACGGGGCCTTGCTGAGCCCCTGCGACCCACCACGAGCGCCCTCCGCGCCATCGCGGGCGCCCGCTAAACACGCCAGTCCCCCGCAAGCCACCGTAGGCGCCCGCCAGCACCTCGCGGTCGCCCGCCGATCTGTAGAAGGGAGCTCAACTGCCCCTGAATTTCAGCATCTTGGTCCCCTTATCCTTCTTTTGT